CTCCCTGTCTGTACTCCGGTTTGTCTTTGTCCTTGACATTAGTAACTGGTAGTCGTAAAGTAGTTATCGGTTTGTGTCCAATGCGTGCCCTTGAGCGATGTACGGTATAGTCGCTGTCTTAACATGTTACTGTTGAAATCCTTCTGAATAATATGAAGAATTAGTAATCACTAGGCTCTCCAGCTTAAGCTTGGAAGGAGAAATGGACGAAATAATTTGGTCCAATGACTTGTATTCACACATTTTTCTGCTTGAAAGCTCCTGAAGTCTACGATAGTTGTTTTTGCTTTGGAAGCAAAAAAAAAGAACTTTGTACAAATCGCACTAACATTTAGAAATATCCCAATACTGAGATTCTTACATTTTGTTATTGACACAATTAATCATAGGACTTCGTGCCGTACAATTCAGAGGTAATACTGCTTGTAATTTCAAATAAAATCCGCCTCGCGCTACGCGCTCTAGTCAGCCGATTTGAATTTACTCCCCAGATTGCTCCCAGAATTGTACTCCGCTCAGTATACCATTACCAATACTTATACTTAAAGTGATTACCTTATATTTGACATCCACCCCACTGGTTTGCATCTACTGAATCCATGAACAGGAAATACCAACGATTTTTTTTTTATTAGCCTTCGATTCAAATCAAGGCCACGATAGCGATTTTTGTTTAATTGTAAGAACATAAAGTCATTTTTATACACTGTTTAAAAACTTCAAGGCCTACACTTCGATAAAGTCACTCCGAAAAAGCTATTGCAGTAAACTAACAGGGATCGCTTTATCTGGGATGGGATCAATTTCTTTTCAGACGAGAACATTGTTGTTTTATGGGATCAAGGATGAGGAAAATCTGTAATTTTGGGATAAGGATAAAAAAAAAAAATGGGTAAAAAATGGGATCATCATATAATCCCTTCCTTGTTACCAGCCTGATACAACAAGCATTGCTTTATAAAACTCTGTTCAAATAATCAAGTATTGTAAGATAAGATATGAAAGAACTGCAAAAGCTCTTTCTTGGTAAAATGATATAAAATTTAATTGACAGAAAACACAATTCATTCAATGTAACCAGAAAATACCTGCCAAAAGTCCTAACGTCCAACTGAAAAGCTGAAACACTGTTCTGTCGCAGGTCACCACATGTGGGAGCTAAACTCTTGACAGCTACGGCCACATTCACCGTCCTTGTCACGGGATACTGAAAGAATCCTCCCTTGAAAGCGTTTTTCTAGACTTTAGATGTACTAGACTTATTGTCAAAATTTGTGCAAAATTTCTACAAAGAACCGAATAATAATAAATAATAAGACAGAGATCTCTTTTAGGCGGAAGGTGTTACGGCGTGTTCATCGTCCTAGTCATCGTTGGAGACCCAGGGGAAGTCAGTCGGGTCGGGAGAAAAGGCGGGACGAAAGTTTTCAAGTATGGGCGAAAGAGCCCCTGGGTACCGACTCTCACCGAGCTATTTCCAAAAATTCAAGCGGAAGCCGGCTCCTGATTGGGCAGAAAAAATGCTTTGTATTATTGTGCCCAATCGGCGAACAGTTTCTCCTGAGTTTTTTTCTTGAGTTCGTAACGACGGCTATTGTTTCAATCACGGCTTGTCTGGCTCATGCACCAAAGAAAAGCACGCAGTCAGGAAACTTTCAGTTTGATATAAAATCCCCATCTGATTTCAAATTACTGTCTGCCCGAAAACTAACGACGCTTTTCCAAAAATACAAGCTTGAGCTTACAACAGGTGTTCACGCTTGCATCGGTCACGTCTTGCGTAAATATTAGGGAATTTTAAAAAGATACCGCGACGGCTGACGACCACGAAAACGTAGCATGGTAAAAGGAATTCACATTTTTTCAGTTTCTATCGTGATTATTCCAACTCGCCTACTTTGTCAAATGCAAGCGAAGTCTTCTGGAGCTGAATTTCTATCAACCATATCCAAGTTCATGAAGAGAATGAATTTTGTCATTGCTTGTTTACGTCCTTCACAAAACATGAAATTACAGTAGGCATTTTCACGGGTAGTCGTGCAGTTGACGGCAAAGAAATGTACAAAAAAGTGTGATGCACGTGCAAAGTTGTTGTTTTGCCTTGTTAAGCTATTGCTTATTTGACTTTAACTTCCTGTTATTTACGATACATTGTGATGAGTCAAAAACAGAATATTCTCGGGGCAAATTGAATTGCTCATGCTGATAGCATCCCAAACGTTTTCTCGTCTCATCGGTAGTTCCTCCGTTTCTGGTTAGGAAAGTAGAAAATAAAAGTTTCCCTTGCTCGCACAAGCTTGGTGAATGAACCGGGCAAGTGTGAAAAAACAACAGCCGTCGTGTACGAACTCACGAAAAGAACTCAGGAGAAACTGTTCGCCGATTGGGAACAATAATACAAAGCATTTTTTGTGTCCAATCAGGAGCCAGCATCCTCTTGAATTTTTGGAAATAGTTTGGTGAGGGGCTCTTTCGCCCATACTTGAAAACTTTCGTCCCGCCTTTTCTCCCGACCCGACTGACTGCCCCTGGGTCTCCGAGGATGCGTCCTAGTCTACCAGACGGAAACGTGGATTCACCAGGTACACTGCGTTAATCAAATAATTATTTCGATGAAAATAGATTTTGACTTATTTGAAGGAACTGTGCTGAATCTTATATATCCAGTTTAAAATAGAGAAAATGAATCGGTTTCTTGAGTCTTCATTGAAGAATCACAGTTTTTCGTTCAAGAAAAATTACGATAAGACGTTTTCTTTAAAACCTGTAACTAAACCTGTGCGAGTACAATTTAAAATGTGATTTGTAATTGTAATCAGTCTGCAGATGTCTGGACGGTTATCCTGCTTTGATTTACGATGTTTAATAAGTTAGAATACAGCAATATTTTTTGTAGCTTCACACATGCATCTTTTTAACTAAGAAACTCGGGTACTTTCATAGGGTACTTTAAGCGAAAAGCTATGATCTTCGATCCTAACTAATTAGAAGACTGCAACAGAAAAATATCGAAAGGTGGCTAAAGAGCTTGGACTGTACAGAGGAGTATTGACAACCTTCCATATAAAACGAGATTGAACAGCTTCGTTCGCTCTCTACGGGGCGTGACAGCTCTAACAAGGGCTGTTTCGGGAGAAAAACAAATTTATTCCGGGAATCTGGAGATTTTGCCGGGAATCGGGAAACCTGCGAAATTTTTCGGGAAATATGAGATATTTTCGGGACATTAAGCAAAGATTTGATATTACATGTTATCAAACAATATATATACAGTGATATGCACCCAGTGTATGTGCTGTATTCTATATATTTCGACACTTGAAAACGGCTGAACTCCTCATGATATGAAAAGACCAATCAGCAACGTTTCCAACTAAAATAGCATGAAGTTCGAGTGCGATTGACCGCGTGCAGTCCCCAGCGGATTGAACAAGAAGCGTACCGGTGCAAGTCACATACTATCAGTTCACACCAGATCCCATCATTCATTAGTTCAGGGGTATTTTTACGCTGCACGTTAACGAGTTTTACATGTAAGAGCACATTCCACTGACTGCATACTGGAAAACTTGAAAGAAGTACGTAAGAAGTATGTAAGAAAAAAACGAAACTCATTTAACCTTGTTAAACAAAAATGAGGCCATAAAAAGTAGTATGTCTGTGAAGACTCTTTAATCATCCTGATCTCGTCGGGGTCCTTCCGATTTTGCTCGAAAATCCCGAATCCCGATCAATATGCGTTCGGGATAGGAAAATTTCAGATTTCGACAGTTGTTTAAAATTTTCAAATAAATTCTTATGATACTCATACAATGACACCACACAGAGTATACTTAGCTGAAAGTGATGTCCAGAGCAATTTCAAAAACCGCACATAAAATTGACTACTTCTACGCGAAGTCACGCCAATAAAAATAAGCATAAAAAGGACAACTGATTAAGAGAACATTTTGGACAGAATTTGTCCTCTAAGAACACTAGAAATGGCGTTTCAGAGCACCAAGATTTCAAAATTTTCTGGGGGAGCATGCCCCCAGACCCCCCTAGTGGTCCCTTCACTGCTCGCCTGATTCATCGGTGATTAAAAAACAAAAAAACACGATTCTATATACTTAAAAAATTTGACAGTCTTTCTGTGTTAACATGATACCCTCTAAACGAAAAAATAACTAGTTACATAATTAACAAGAAGCTGCAAAAAATCTCTGATCAAAATTTTAATTTTAATTGTTAAATTTTGGGAAGTTAAACATTTATGGGGAATGCCACCGAAAAATTCGGGAGGGTCGACGAAATTTCCGGGAGGACATAAAGTTATTCATAGGACTGCCCAAACAGCCTTTGTTAGAGTTGTCACCCCCCGTGCTCTCTATCGAGGGAAGACTTTTCCTTTACGGATGAGGTATATATGCAGTTCGTAAACGCGCGCTGTGCTTGACGCAAAGCGATAGCGTGAAGATCTACGTAGATCGATCCGAAGATAGGCTGTAAATATGTAACATCGTGCAAGGCACTCGAGTTATTCAAGGTAAGGAGGCCCTCAGCTATTTCTTGACTCTCTGAACTCTTTATTTGAGCAGGAGAATGTGATAAATGGGTAAAGGAAAAATCTGAAAGCCACCGACATACACCGGTGCATGTGGGGTCTAGATTACATTACTTTATGACCAGTTCATGGTTAACCTGTGGAACTGAGCTCATATATGTCACTACGAATGAGTAAAACTTACATCATTTTCAGTTTCGTCAGTTGTTACTATGTAATAAACAGAGTTTTCATCTCATTTCGTATCAGTTGCTAACTTGTCTTCAGTTGTTAAAGACACGATTCTCTGAAAGATGTTTGTCAAGAGTTTTCACAAAATAAAAGGACCCGAGGTGGTACTGTTTGTGGGATTCATCATCCTTCTTTGGTAAGTGTTGACAGGAACAAAATGAATACACAGACGAGAGAAAGCCCGTATGATCCTGACTCAGTCATATTTTCTCCATACTGAAGGATGGAGAATGTTTCTGCCAGAGGGCCCTTTGGTAGACACCACAAACAGAGAACGTCTGCAGTTAATCATAAGGGGGAACGGAAAATCATTATCGAAAAGCAATCAGCACGTACGTAAGGCTCATTACAGAGGATTTTTGTTATTGAATGTAAATGAAATACTGCTTATAAATAAAGTTACCTTACGCCTTGCGATACTAACCATTTCAAAGCTAACCGGCGAAAACGTCCGTTTCTCCTCGCTCGAAACGTCCCCGTCGGCGAAGAGCTAGGAGAAACGGATGTTTTCGCAGGCTATTTCAAAGCAAGAATCTTAGAAACTTGCCTAGCAAAACTGAGAACAGGAGATTTTTTCGATTGATTTTCTTTAAGAGTTAAACCAAGTGTAATCAGTCATTCATTCATAGAGCTCGATAGGGTAATTTTAAACTTCTAGCTTTCTCATAAAGTTGTAGAATGTTAGAAATATTAATTGCTCCTGTGGTGTACTGTGAATCAAATGTGAAATTAAGCCAGCCGAACGACAGCATTTCTCGTAACGGACTTCTAAGCTTGATTTGCTTAATTCCTCCATCTCTTAGCTCAGCAAAACTATCTGACAGGGACACCGAACAGGGTACCTGCCGGAATGACAAACGTGAAGCAACCTGGCGGATCCCTAGCTGCCGCTGTTGGAGATGGAATAACTGACGACAAATCTGCGATTCAGGCCATAGTAAACCAGGCTGCCATTTCCACTATCAAAAAGGTTTTCTTCCCTCCTGGTGTGTACCAGGTCAACGGTGATATCGCCATCGCCGACTCTGTGGAACTTTACGGAACACAGAGTGGTATCGCAGTTATCAAAGCCAGGGATGCATATGCCATAAAAATACACAATGCTTCTCCGGTAACACATGTTTCACTAAAGTATCTGTATTTTGACGGAATTCGTGTAGAATTTGAAGGTCGGTCTACAAACAATATCACAATAAGGGTTGCGTATTCTTTTCATCGCAAAATCCAGGAACAGCAAGCAATGCTTGGAAGAAACAGTTGAAAATGGTTAATCTTAGACAAGGCCGTGTTACCAAAAACGTTTTTATGCGCGATTCACATGCTTATGGGGTTGCTATCAGTTTCGCCCATACCGTGAATGTAACACTAGTGTGGTCTCAAATTACGTCAGGATATGCACTGGTTGTCCGACCAAGTTGAGTAAAAAAGATACTGGTAGGGTCAAAAAAGTAAATCAGAATTCCTTAAAACTCATTACCATCTTCAAGATGACCAAGGCTACTTTAAAAGTTGTTTCTATGAACATTGCGACGAAGGAATGCAAATCGAGAAAAACGTTTTCAAGAGAAGTTCCAATACTGGACGACATAGGGACCACTCCATATAGCTCGAAGGGTTCGACAACATGACAGTAATAAGCAACTACGTCAGAGGTTAGCCTGCGAATTCATCGGGTGGCATTAAAGCTCGAAATGGCCAAAATCTTTGGCTTGTTCGGAATTACGTTGACGACACCGGAATTCTGCTGTATTCCCACGACAACAAAATGAAAAAGGCCTGTATTTATGTAGGTCTCAAGAACGTTGTAGTCTACGGAAATCACCTCAGAATGCAAACCAACCTAAACAATTCAACAAGAGGTTTGAGATACCACGAGCCTCATCACAATGTTGGAAGGGATGAGAACATCAAATATTCTGGCAATGAATTTGAGATCATTGGTGTCAGTAATCCTACTGATTACCCTTGCATTTGGCTGACCAATGGCAATCCGTCTGAACATCACGTGTACGCAGACAACACATATTTTGGCCGAGGTAACACGGTTAGGATTGCAGGCCGGTATGGCCAGGTCCTTGGTCCTGCAGCATATGAATGAGGGAACTTCAACCAAAGTATCAAAAATACGTTAAACCGTTATCCTCTATACAAACCAAACATTCCACTCTATTAAAATGAGTAACTCTGGCACACATTATGAGAAAAGTAAAAAAGATTAAAGAGGAATTACAATATTCATAATTACGTATAGAAGAAACCATTAATGTGTTATAAAACTGTTTTAGGGAAATATTAAAAATAATCCTGGAATATATGTGTTTTGTTGAATTGCTCTTTCACATTGATAGGGGTAGCCATCACGCATCAGCGCCTCTTAAATCATTACCGTTCAACAATCTGGTCCATCATTTCCGAGTAAAAACGCCTATTTATCATCAGAAAGATAACTTGTTCAAGAAAAACTATAAACATGCATAACTGTAATATAGTATTGTTATTAAACAACGAAGGAGTGGTCGCTTTGCGCAATGGCAATCAGTAATTTCATTTAAATTTCCCTTGCCGTTCAAAGTTCTTTATTAGTAAATTCTGTTAGAAACTGTAAGACCGACGACGTGGGCTGATCGCGAGACACGCCACTTCAGAGGGTGTGGATGGGGTTAGCTGATAGCTGAGAATTGGCCAAAACGTTAACTGTTAGCTGGGAAACGATAAGTTTTTTAACTGATAGCTAAGATTCTTTGAGCAACTGTCAGCTGAGATTAGTAAATAGTGTCCGAGACACTGAGACAGGTTATCGCCCCTATTGGTATTAGAGCACCTACACCTAAATAAGTTTTTTTCCCTAACAATAATTGTAATAAATTTCCGCTCCTGAGGGCCCGCATTGCAAGCTACAAGCAATTGCAAGAATTGAGACAATACTTGACATGTGCGTCAAATTAGACCCTTTCTTAATGTGATATACTGACGATTTTTAATTACGTGCGTCATGTCTGATATTGATATTTCAAAACAATCTTCGCCTCGTGAAAAAAATGGTAACTTCTTAAGCTTTATATCTTAAGCCCGCATGGAAGCTGCCCATTTGGGAATCTGGAGACAGACGAAGGGAAATGTCTCCAGCTTGCTGTTTCTACTTAATGTACCTCTCACTTGCCTCGCGCAGGCCTGCTTATGAAATGATGGAGAATCCATGGGGGCAGGTGCAGGGGGTGCCGGTGAATATTCGCTGCAATTTTGTTGTGTCGAGTCTTGGGGTCATCTTTTACAATAAGTCTGCTCACAGACTCGACCCCCCTCCCTCACCCCTACTTTCCTATTAGAGACAAACATTGTCGCGCTCGCTACCGAAAAGGCTTTAGATGAAACACGTCTGGAGCACCGACTAGTTTTCTATTAATCTCTTTGTTACTGTAACCCAGATTTCCTCGGCCGGTGAGGTGACCAGTCCATGAACCGGTTTGATCTGTTGTCCCTCTACGAGATGAAACTTGAACCGTTTGATGAGGACAGCAAGAAACACGAGCCCTTCAGCGATTGAGAACCTCCATCCGGGACATTTACGTTTACCAGCAAACCCAAACGGTTGGTAAGCGAGGCTTGGAAGCTCTTTAATGTTCTCTGGACTGAAACGATCAGGATCAAACCTGAAAAATATTACAGGGTGTCATTTTTCTTTACTGGCACAAGTTATCTCACTTTC